GGGCAGAGTCAGCTCGGGCGCTGCCCTCCCAGCGGAAGCGGAAGCCCCGCCATTTTGTTTCGGGTGATGGCGACTGAGGCGCTGTGGGGCTGGGGAGTTTAGCGCGGGCCCGGCCTTCGGGGGGACTCGCTTCTCGGACAGTCGTTGTTACCGCGAGTTTCCTCCTCCTCGCCGCATCCCCTGGTGATGTACGGAGGGGTCGGAGGCTCTCGACGGACTGCAGAAGAGTCAGGCCCACCGCCCCTAATGTTGTTGTCAGGCGGGGGAGCGGTCCCCGGCCCCCCCGGAGGAGGTGGAGGAGGAGGTGGAGGTGGGAATAGCCGTGTGGAGCTGCTGGTGTTCGGCTATGCCTGCAAGCTGTTCCGAGATGATGAGAAGGCTCAGTACCAGGAGCAGGGGCGACACCTTATTCCTTGGATGGGAGACCCCAAGATCATGATCGATAGGTCGGTGTAACACAACCCCCAGACTGCTGCGAGATCTCCTGTTATAGCCTCTTTTTGTTCCCCCCCCCTTATGCTGTGGGCATGTGAGGGCGGGGGATGAGCAGAGGGCTCTGGCAGATGTGTGGGGATCTTCTTCACTGACAGAGGTGGACGGCAGCTCTTTCTGGTAGAGTGCGTGGAGTGCTGCTTTCGTAACGCTGCAGGGTCATCCCCCCCGGCAGCAGGACCTTGGAGTTTCCCTTCCTGGCAGTGTTGGGAGCTTCCCCTCCTTTTTACAGTCAGCGTCTGTTGGATCTTTCTGCTTCACATGTTAGGGTAGGGTTTACAGGGTGGAGTGGAGAGTGTTCCTTTTCAGTGCAAACCACAAACATAATCTTTTCTCACTTGGAAACCAAGGGAGCTTTACTGCATGGGAATACTTCTTAGGGATTTTGTACCTTCTCTAGGTGAGAAGGTGTGGGGAGTGGAAAGGTATTTATTCACCTTAGGGTAAATGGGATTTTCTCATTTCTCCTATGTAATCTAGCAGCAAGGCTGTCGCTGGGATATCCCAAAAGCAGTTTTTGGCCTAATTCCATTTTCCTTGTGCTGTGACTGACTGTATTAGGCAGAATGGCTTTGATTTTGGGTGCTTTTCAAATTTTTGTGTCAGCGGTGGCTTTGTTTGGTTGCATTGCAGTAGCTACAGGTTCATGGCCAGAGAGAGTAACAGAATCTACTTTGATTTTGCTTCTGGTCTCTTAAGTTGTTTCAGCAGTGCAGGATGGGATTTAGAAATAAATTTATTCAGAATGAATTTTCTGAATATTTTCCTGGAGAGTGAGAAAGGGGGATGTTAGGTTTGGTATATTTAAGTGGAGTTCTGAAAGAACAATTTTAAGAGTTATGGCTGACCCTGAAAGCCTCAGTGGGAAAGATTTTGGTTTGCAACAGGTCACATGACATACTATGGATGTTTGTTCCCTCAATTTCGTCATTATTTTGGTGCTATACATAATTTTTCTTGTTTTGATTTAGCAGCTGTATTTGGCTTGCAAAATATCAGTAAGAGAAGGAAGGTATTTTCATTTTCTTCCATTAGACTGGAGACGAAAGTTATGGCCTTGCACTGTTTTGGCATTTATGCCATGAATTATGTTCATGACTGAAATCAATTTGTTAAATTTGAATAAACATGAAGACATGAAAAAACAACCATAGCTGTTTGTAGCTGTGTTTAATTTCCGACTTAAATGATAATAGAAGTGCTACAATGCACAATTCTAATCCAGATCACTTCTGTGATAGATTTCATGAGCAGGTAGGGGCTGTTTTTGTGGTCCTGTGCTGCAGTAACCCTGTTTACAGTCATTAAAGAAATTGTTGGGAGCAAAAACTAAGTATGTGTATAAAATACCAAAAAATCCAAATAACATTTGTAAGTTAAGGTAGCTTGCAATTACTAATCTTATAAACTCCTTTGGAAGCTTAGGTTCTTTCTATCTCCAGCAGCAGAAAGTCTTCATTCTCACCATTTTGAGAAAAGCAGGTTGCTATGAGAAGACAAGGGTTGAAGTTGACCTGTGGACAGAGCTTGATTAACCAGACCTACGTGTTTCATTAACTTGTTTTGCTATAAGCGCATTTACTTTCCTTGTTTTTGGTCTAGCAAGTTGGCACAAGTCAAGAGTTGTGTGTGGGAAGACACCTCAGCAGAGTCGAGTTTACTGTCACTTTACTTTTCAATCAGTTTCTCTTACTGAATGAACATTATCCCCATGCTTTTCCTGCAAATGAAATTGTTTTGCTTAGTAGAAAGGAACTGTACGTCCTTGATCTTTGCCGTTTTTGCGGCGAACCTCCTTAAATTGCATGTATATGTTGCTGTTCCTATGTATGTGTGTCTCTCTATCACATAACCCAGAACTTATTTCCTCAGCCAAATGGCTAGGGGCCGAGCCTAGCCATGATTTTACCTCCAATGGACGCAAGTTTCTATGGTGAAGATCTCTCCTGAGAGTTCGGGACTAGCAGAAAGAAGCGAGGAAATTTCGACCGTTTGGTTCTTACGGATAGGTATTTATGTACTCGGGTTTGTGTGAATGTAAGCTATTTGACTTTCCAGAAAAACATATTTTGCAAGTGACATTGATTGGTTGGTTGAAGCACGTACGGTAAGAGCTGTTAAGGAAATGGATCCCACTTAAACTATTAAAGGATACCTTTGCCTTTAATTGTAATAATTTATTAGTTTCTCTGAGAGGACTTTAGACTATTAAACAATTTTTTGATATCTGGTGACAAATGATTAGCAAAATTAAACATAACTTTTAAAAGGAAGTATGCTTTAACGTATAAGTTTGTTTGTTTGGTTGTTTTTTTTTTCATTTTTAATGGGTAAGTATTTAAGTAGTCACATAAACCCAAGCCCTAAGTTTTTTGCATTGACCAGCTGTTTCATCTTGCAGGTATGATGGGCGTGGTCACCTGCATGACCTTTCTGAATATGATGCCGAATATTCCACGTGGAACAGAGATTATCAATTGTCTGAAGAGGAAGCTAGAATAGAAGCCCTCTGTGATGAAGAGAGGTATTTAGCCTTGCATACGGACTTGCTTGAGGAGGAGGCGAGGCAAGGTATTGCTCAAGGAAACTTCCTGAGTTTAGCATATGTTTAAATAAATAATTATGAAATTAAATTTACTCCTAATTTTATACTCTCTTTTTCTGATGTTATCTTGACAGTACCCAGTGGATTCGAAAAACGGGAGTCTTTGCGTATGTGAGAGGACCTCAGGATAGTTTAAATATAGATCCACACAGAAATTGCCCAGATTCTGAGGGCAGGCTGGGATTTGAGACCCAAAAAACCCCAAAATAAACACATTCTGCTTCTTTTTTAGTGTTGTGTAAATGAAATTCTGTGCTCTGGTATGCATAATTACACTAGAATGTTTTAACCCGCAGCTTTGATCTCTTCAGGAAGAAGTAAATGGTCAGCATATGTGCATGCTGTGCATTGCTAGTCAATATTTAATGACAGTTAAAATTATTAGGTGAAAACTTCTCATGTAAAAACTAAAGTAAGAAATACTACTTTTTTTTTTACTTTTTTTTTAAACAAATTAGCTTTAAAATATGTTCTAATGATTGATACTTACATTTTGTTCAAGAGGAGGAATACAAAAGACTGAGTGAAGCCTTGGCAGAGGATGGTACCTACAATGCAGTGGGATTCCGTTATGGCAGTGATTATTATGACCCTTCAGAACCCACTGAGGAGGAGGAGCATCAGCCTGCCAAACAAAGAGGTAAGGGGTACAAATAGCAAGGGTCAATTGAAAGGAAGAACATAGCACCTCTGTGTCTCTCAGTTGCAGTTGAAAGTTGAAATTGTGTGTTTTATTAAAATCCAAGTAAAAAAATCTCAGAGCATTTCAGCAAAGTCTTTATGGAACTGCTTTGGATGTGCTTAAGTGTTCTCCTGCTACAGTGCAATCAATACTACAATATTACAAACATGGAATATGTATTTTTCAAGTTTAGCTCTTGTTATCTTAATAGTTATGCAATGAGTCTGTCTTCAACACAGTATGCCACTCTCTGTGATCTTCAAAAATGCAGAATTCAGGTTCTCATGTTCCCATCTTTAATTACCATAACTTTGCATTTTTAACAAGAAGTCTTAGGGAAACTTTTAGGTGTTATTGAGCCTACTTTTTGGTAAAGTTAGAATTGCTCCATTACCCACTGGGATGTCTAGCTACATATTGGTGGGTTATCGTGGTATGAGATGTGATTTTTATTTTTTTTCTTACCAGGGTGTGTGCTACCATGCAGGATCATTTTAGGTGCTGAAGCTTATCTGGTGTTTTTTGCTGCTGTGTGTGAGAGGTGGTGTCAGTGTCCATGCTGCCTGCATTCTCCCAAGGGTTTCTCTTGTACTTTTCTGTACTGATGCTGAATTGCATTCTCTCTGCTGGGGTTTAATTCCTTGGTTTTATTCCCACCTAGATTCCATAACCAATTAATTTCTAAGTTCTCTTTATATACAGTTTTTATTGTTGTAGGGGTGTTTTTTATGAGGTGTTATCTGCATATATATAGGGATAAACCTACTTAAAAATTGGGTGTGATGTAGAATGGGTCTGTGATTTGGCTCCCCCATCTTTCTCTGCTGCGTAGAGTTTAAATAAATAAATGCCACCTCCCTATTGGTGATTAAAAGGAACATTTTTAATAATGCTGGAGAACAAAGGGGCACTTTCTAGTAACACTTGGCAGTACCTGGAGAAAAAGGACTTGTGGCAGAAGTGAGGTAAAATGTCGGTGTTATGCTTTGCTCTAATTGAACTGTGCAGACTTAATATATTGCTATGTGGTAACAATATCTAATAATACAGGACTATACATTCTTAAAATTAACTTTTTATAAATCGTAGTAGAGTAAAATTCAGTTCTGGAAGATGCAGATAACAGCAATGTGAATTACAGGCTATAGTAGTAGAGTGTTATCTGGAGCTGCTGCCAGAACCAGTCCTACCCTGCTTTGTCTCCTGCTTCTTCCACCTTTCTTTGATGCTAAAATTTCTGTGTGCCTTTGTGGTATTTAAACTGTTTTGAGTTCATTCAAAAAAAAGACCAACAACAACCTGTCAGACAGCAACAAAAACGTTAACTCTGTTTCTTTCGTGGGTAAGAGCTTGCCTACAGTAGTTGCTATGACATTTCATGCATGATTAGGCTATTCTGCTGTCTGTGTCCATAGTCAGGTTTTCATGCAGTTGGTGCTGTCTAATTTGTTAGGATAAAACTGGAATACATTTTCTCTTAAAGCTAGTAGAATAGATAATACTAAAAGTTACTTTAAAAAGTGAACTTTCCACTTAAATTATCCTAAACATTTGGAAAGCAGATTATCTTCAGAGGAATGTTTGTGGTGTACAAAGTAACAGAATGTAGTACAAATTGGCCTTTATAAAAGAACAACTTTTGTAGATGAGTAGTTCATGTGATAAATCTGTTAAATATTTGGATGTGTTAAGCTTGATATAAAAGGGAAACTTGCCAGCTTTGGACTGAAGTCACAGATAAATGTCAATGTTTACTTTGATCAATTATTAAGACAACTACTGGATTTTCTCTATAAGTGATGAAAGTGGATTTTTGCCTCCCTGTTGCATTCCTGTAGATCTTTCATTAGGGTTGGGAAACTGGTGAAAGTGCTTAGGTTTTTTTGCATATGCTGAAATGGTTGATTATCAGGGCACTGAATTCAGTTAGACCAGGTGTATGGCTTACATGAGCTAAAGAGAGACTGGATGTCTAGTATTTTAATCTGAGATAGGAAAGGATTCACCTAGTGTGTTGAAATTGGATTCCCTTAATTTTGCATGAGTTTTATTGTGGTAAAAAAAAAGGTAATATTCGTGAAAATTAGTATTTTCTATTTGATTTGATTCATCTTCAGCACTGTGGCCAGGGCTAAAGTTTATAGGGCATTATTCTTCCTGGTATCTCTATTAAGATATAACTTATGTAATCTTAAGCAAACTACACAGAACACACAGGAGAGGAACCATATTTAAAAGTCTTCAGTGCAAATGATGGTTAAAATTTCATTTGAGAAATTCCCTGATTGCACATGCTTTTAGATATACTTTATTTTGATTTTTTTTTTTAACTTTTTGGTACTTTGAAATGTTTTGTCCTATGGTATTTTATTCTGTCATTTCTTGTAGAAACAGCTCAGACAGAAAATGTAGAGGAAAATGAAGAACCTTTTGTTGCGCCTCCAGGACTGAATGTACCTTCTGATGTGGAACTGGTATGTGCATACATTTCATGCAACCTACATTTCTGTCAGTTTTCAAGGACTTTGTGGTGCTTTATTGATTTTTTAATATTTTTTTTTCCCCATTAACTTCAGTGCAGTACATTTTAAATTATTCTAAAATAGTAGCTTAGTTTCAAATGTTCTTCCTTGAATTCCTGAGTTCTGTCAATTCTCTTGAATCTTCTTTATGCGGACATCATTGCAGTGCTTATGTTAAGTGTGCTTAGTATCATTTTTGATCTTATCATAGATAATGCAGAAAAAAGGCAGTTGTTCTTGGAACGGGTACTTACTGAGATGCCAAGGTTGATGTTCCAGATGTAAAGGACCATTAAAACAAAAGCCTACTTCTGTTTGTGGTTGTTTTTTTTTAAACTGAGTCTCAATCTGGAGGGAATATGAAATGAGCAAATATAAAAACTGCGTTTAAGACTAGCCTGTTCAAGGAGTGTAACAATTTATTTGTAGCAAATTCTGAAATAACTTGAAAGTAGAGAAGTGCTTTCCTTCACAGAATTTGCTACCTAGTATACTGTAAACTACATTGCAACATGTGTATTTTTCCTGAAGGGAGCTGAACCCTGTTCTGATTGAGAAAAATTCTAACTATGAGGAGTTTCAATTTTTTTCAAGTTTTATGAAAGATAATATCCTTTCTCCTAAACCATGGTCACAAAAGTGTTAAATTATATTTGGGCTGCCTTCTTAACTTGATAACCTTGGCCAGTAAAGATTCAAAGCACTCTGCTAGAGTAACTAATAATGAACACAGGTATTTGTGAGATCATTTTTCTACTTCATTAGCTTTTAATTGAAGATTTTCATCCTCTTCTGTTTTTTATGATAGAGGAGCTGCTTAACAAATCTATTGTGCAACCTCACTTGTTCTAGTTTTACTTTTCTTTCCAATCTTATAATAGATTTTGTTAGTGAAGTGCTTGCAAACCTGCTTCTGAGTTCAGTGAAGATTTTTGTACGTTATCGCCTTTAAATTACAAGTTATACTTAAGTCTCCGAAAAAGGACTTTGAGTTCTCAGTGAGAAGCTGGATAGTTAGCATTTGGATGCTGTTTCCAGAAAATAACTGCTAGTGAAAAAATGTTTGCTGGTTTAGATGGCTGCTTTGCTTGAATTTTGTTCTGATGCAGGAGATGTATTTTATATGTAAGCCGTGGAATGCAGTGTGGGGTTACTGAAGTGATTTCTCAGTCAGGAATAGAAGGTACATGTAGGCATATTTGGTTTTGATTTTCAAAAAAACAACCAAAATGTTTAGACAGCAGCTCTGAAAACAGTATATACTTGACTTTTGATTGGGAATTGTGAGAAATTTTTTTTTGTAAGACTTGAGTTGTTGCTTCAGTTTTTATCCTCATCAAGTCATTTGGTTTTTCTATTCAATGTCTTTGTTCTGTATTTTTAAATTTAATTCCTGCGGAGGGTAGAAGCCTGGAAAATTACTGTTTAGCAAATATTTCTCACTGTACACTGTTCCCATTAAAAAAAAAAAAAAAAAAAAAAAAAAAAAAAAAAGACAAAAGCATCATAAATTCTGTTGTTGTTCTGTTGATCTGCAAGTGATGTGAAAAGGTGTACAGATACATTGCTGGTTTGTGGAAGTGACAGAATGGTGGTTTAGGTCTCTCCTGAATTTACTGCTAATTAACATCCAAGTTAGAAGACATGACACTTGTTGCTGGTCATAGCAGGTAGACGACACTTGAAAACTTTGACTCATTTTTGGGAGGAAACTAGAGTCTGGAAATAAGATATTTGAGAATCAGCTTGCTGACTTGGAGACTGTGTTCACAGTCTGCAAGGTGCAGTTCCATGAAGACAGATATAAAGTATCTCCTGTAGTGCAGAGCAATCCAATGTGTAAATGTTACCTGAAACCTCAGTAGTTAGGCAGCACTGCTGCAAAAAAGATCCAAAAGCTGTAGTCAGCACTGAGTGTATGACTATTTCGGCTGCAGTAGGAATGTCATTCTGGGACTTAGAGTGGTGTGGAGGATGCAGGAGGTTTTCCACTGCTTAAAACTGTTAATGTCAGGGTTATAGCAAAGATGACTGGTTTAGCCCTTGCATTTTAAGAAGTGCACAGATGCTATGGAATTGGAGTAAGAGGACATGATCAGTTAAACTTAAGCAGAACGATGGAAAATCGCTTTGTTTTATCCAAATGAGAATACTCAGAGGCAACATAAGACTTAAAATTATTTTCCAGGCTTGCAGAAGATGAGAGGGTAGTTGCTTAACTTACAGTAAGGGAGACTCGCTCATTAATTTTTTTTAATTACAATACTAATTAAAAACTGGAGCAGAATATCTGACTACATGATAGCATGTCATTGGATTATTTTTCCAGTAAGGGTTTCCAGAAGGGTTTTTTCTCTGCTCTGGCAAGTACTCTTACTTTCAGAAATTTTATCACTTCTCACTTTAAATGTTCAGATTTTTTATTAATTGTAATAGCACCCTAGAATATGTTTATGATATCCACATCTGTGTGTGCCATTTAATGTTTTTTTTAAATCATGTTTTGTAGATCAGTGGTGTTAGTAATCTTAGAAGTAAATTAAAAGCATATTAATATTCATAGTGCCCATTTTCCAGACCTTATAGTGGTATCAGTTTCAAATTCAAGACCAGATAGTAATTTTGATCTCCATTGCTGATTTGCAGCTTTTTGTTTATGAACCTCTTCATCTTCAATGTATTTTGCATTTCTTCATAAGAGCTGCAGAAAAAGAGAAACCTGATGTAATTAAGTAGTGAAACCATCTGTACACAAAATGTTACCAGTTTGTCGAGAACTTCATAGCCTCTAGTTAAATTTATCTTTGGTAGTGTTTTAGAGGGACAAGTACAACTTGAAACAACTAGTTATTTTCCATTCTGAGCATATTGTTCTGGTAAAGGATCCTACTGGCTGAAAATAATTTTCAAGAATGTGTTGTTTGATCACATTCAGACTTTTTCCCCTAAATAAAGCATGTCTCGTGTGCTTCCAGTCTTCTGAAAAGGGCTTTCTGAGGTTTACAACATGCTTCTGTAGCTAGACTAATAAAAATGCAAAGCTGAAGTGAATCATTAATGTGACACTTCAGTCTTTATAGGCATACAGAGTATGTGTTTCTACAGTTTATTGAGCACAAGACAAAACAGCTGAGTATGAAATTAAAGACAGTGAATAGTGAAGTTCATTCATTGTTTAACTATATTCTTGTTCTTTTCACTTCTTGGGTTTAATATGGCAGTTCTCCTTATATGGGATTTCAGAGTAGAATTGCATGGATGCTGCCTAACTTTATTAATTTTCCTTCAATTGCTAAATTGTTCAATGACACTTTATGGGATCGTGACAGCACACAAGAATTGAAGTTCCTATGTTGGTCTTAAGATACAATGTGTTCCTTCCAAGCAAATTAATAACACACTTTTCTAGTTGGGAACAGTATTTGCATATTCAGTGATACCAGAATAAGGAACAGCTGTTGAGAAGAAGACCATCCATGTTGAGTCTTCAGAGCACCTTGAGGTATTGTAAGGTAGGGCCACTTGAAGTTGGCACTGGCGTGATGGAGAACACATCTGTCTCCTGTTTTGTGCCAGCAGAAGAGTTTACGTGACTACGGAGTGTACCTGACTTAAAAGATTTAGTTATTTTTTTTACTACATCAAACTCATCAGGATTTATTCCCCTCTTCAGATTGGTGTGCAATGACAAAAACATTTTTGCTGATAAAAGGAGAGGATCTTGTAAAAGGAAATGAATGAGCAACGAGGGAATATTTGGACCACTGAGGCTTTCTTGGTGCTGATAATGCTTTTACTACTTGAAGGCCATCATGAAATGGACTTGCTAGAGAAAGCTGTGGAGACGGGCAGGGAACTACTGCTTTTTCTAGTTCCCTCTGGAGCTCTGCCACACTTTAAAAGCTGCTTATAACAACATAACTATATGTTCTTTTACTCCCACAGCCACCAACAGCAAAAATGCATGCGATTATAGAACGGACTGCAAACTTTGTCTGCAAGCAGGGAGCACAGTTTGAGATCATGCTAAAAGCCAAACAAGCACGCAACTCCCAGTTTGACTTCTTGCGATTTGATCACTACCTCAACCCCTACTACAAATTCATTCAGAAGGCCATGAAGGAGGGACGATACGCTGCTCCTTCGGAGAGTAAAGCGGACGAGAAAAAACGTAAGTTGTTGCATGGCAGTGTTACCCTGCTGCTGAGATTAATGTTAGGATTCCAAATTTTGCTTAAATTGGAGGAGATTTTTCAAAGAAAATACTCTTTTGGGAAACTTTTGGGTACATGAGCTGCAATGTTCTTGAAGCTTTTAAAAACACTTTTATAGCTCTAATTCATGGGAAAGTTGGTCTGTGCAGTTACGTTGTAGTTCGGTCAATGGCTGGCAGTATCTTCTTGTATCTGTGTTTTTGCAAATAAGCAGATTTATGAAAATGGTAGTTTCTTAAGAACACCTACTTGTCCCAAACCATCTTTTTCTCCCAATGCAAATCCATAGCAAGCCCAAATAAAATTTGCTTTTGTTTTAGACTCAAGAGTCAAATCTGAAGAAGATGATGATGATGATGACGATGATGATGGAAATTATCTGCACCCGAGTCTCTTTGCATCTAAAAAATGCAGTAGGCTTGAAGAACTCATGAAGGTACTTGACCCTGTTAAAGTTACTTTCTACCTTGTAAAACATCTGATTCATGAGCACAGAAATTCTAATATGCAGGTTTTAAGATCTTTTGTTAAGAAAGATATTTTTTTTCCAGATTGTGTTTTAGTAATTTAAGTCTGGTTGTGGTAAACTTTCAAGTTACCTTTTCTCTAGTATGTAAATTGCTATTTTTCCATTTGTAAAGAATTATATTTCTATTTTTGATGCCCTCTGGTATTGAGGGCATCGCTCAGGAATTTATCCCATAGAACCTGTATTGAAGCTGAAAATATTAAGATATTTAATGCCTTCTGTGTATAAGCTGAGAGAGAATGTTTTCATTTTAGCTTTTAGTAGATAAAATGTTGACATGAAATAATTGTTTCACCAGAATGTACTACTTATTACATGTAAATTTTGCTGGATGCATTAGTTAGTTTTGTTTTCTGAGTTTGGTCAGTGAGAGAATAATGGGAATAACAGATGGCTGTATACATTTGAGGCTTCCAGAGGAATGGCAGTGGTGCTGTCTGATATTTAGAGAAGTCAGGTTTTGTGTCTTATCTCAGCCTTGTCAGTAAATGAATGAGAGTAATACCCATTTTTTATTTTTTTTTTATGTCATGGATTTCTCTTCACATTAATTTTTTTTTTTCGTCACTAATTTTCAAAAACTCAGTTGTTTGTGATTTGGGAGCTACAAAAACAGTAGCTTCATTGTTTGGACAATGTTATTGATGGTTGTCTGTTAACTGCAATAAATTTGCTTTCTAGACTAGGTTGATGCTATCCTACTTGGAGTGTGTGCTTCAAATACTAATCTTTTTTTCTATTCTCAAATTTTTTTCAGCCTTTGAAGGTGGTAGACCCTGATCATCCACTTGCAGCACTGGTGCGCAAAGCACAATCAGATAATAACTCATCTACACCACAGTCAACAGATGGGGCAGCTGTACAAACATCACAAGCAGAATATTCTTCTGATTGTAAGTGCATTGTGATTAGGCAGCTCCTGGTGTACCTCAATGAATTGTATGTGGATGCTGATGGGAAAAAAATCTGTTAGCTTCATACTTGATCATTTGTACTGATATTTATTCTTTTTCAATCTACTCCATCTTTGGAATTGGTGATGAAGTCCTTGTGTTTTTTAGTAAAGTCATTGCAAATAGGTCTGACTGTAGTGATCTGAATTGATTTTGGTGCATTTAGGAACAGGCCCCGCCATAGGATTACAGTTGTTGTCAGAGTGTAATATATGGAGAGTGATATGCATGGAAATATTTTTATTTTAAAGTGAACCTTAAGAGAGTCTTAATAAAACTGAAATCAGAATAAGTATCTTTGTAGAAAAAACACTCATCAGTTTTCTGATTACTTTTGTGTCAGGCTTGAATCTGAATGTATATGATACAAACTGGGAGAGTTTGCAACTCCCTACATTTAAAACTTAACAGATCTTTACTCTCCTGATATATTAATTATTCTTTGAAAAAAGTAAATACTGCCACACAAGAATATTTATTAAACTTTTAAGAGGATAATTCATTATAATTTAATACATTGATTAAACTTTGCCTCCAGAAATGTAAACTCTTACTGTAAATCCTTTGAAGTATTTTACCTGAATGCTTTTTGTTTATACACTTTTCTGCAAAAAAAATCTTTAGATTTACAAGAAGTAACTGTCATTTAAAATTGTTGGACTCAGTGATCTGAAAGGTCTTTTCCAACCAGAATGATTCTGTGATGCTCTAATTTTTTTTTTGTTTTACACAAGAAATTAGATGCCATTTATTAGTGCGTCGTGTGAATGTGGTTTCTCAGTGTGTTTGCACTGATGCAATAATGTGGATTTTTTTATTGGGTGTTTTTCTTCTAATCAGAATGTTGTTCTTTAATGTCTTTTTATAGCTACTGTGGCAGCCATGTATTATAGTTACTACATGCTACCTGATGGAACCTATTGCCTCGCTCCTCCACCTCCGGGCATAGATGTTGCCACGTACTACAGTGCATTGCCTGCAGGGGTGACTGTATCAAGCACGACAGGGGTAGCAACAGTACCTCCGCCCCCTGGTACTACACCCCCACCTCCCCCAGAAACAACTGATAGCAGCAGTGGGTTAACTTCTACCACAACATCTACAAGGTACCTCATTGATTTGCTTCTTGGTTGGAGTGGTCTCTTTCATTTCTTTCCTTCAACATGAAGTATATTGTAAGGGTTCTATTATTAGTGATTCTTTAGTAACATTTGCTTGAGTTTATACAGCTTTTATTAATTCCAGTTTGGTCTTCCATATCGTACATGGTGATTGTTACTCAGCTACTATGAAGTTTTTACATGATGGAAAATTAAATTATTTTAACAGTATAATGAACCCAGAGGGGAAACCTCTTTGTAATCTGTTTTTTTTTTTTGTTAAAGCAAGAATCTGAAGGATATTTATGTTCTACTTCTAAAAACGCTCTACTTTCATGTCTTCAGCACAATTGCTCCAGTGGTTGCCATTATACCTCCACCCCCAGATATCCAACCTGTTATTGACAAACTGGCTGAGTATGTTGCTAGGAATGGGATAAAATTCGAAACTAGTGTTCGTGCCAAGAATGATCTCAGGTAAGATAAAACATTATTTGAATTTCTATTTTAAGAGCTGAGGTTTTAGTTTTTAAGTATATTACCAGGACATGTGGGTCTCAAGATTTTAAACTTTTTTTTAATTGAAATTCAGAGACCAACTTAAAGGCAGTGCCAAAGCATTGTTGCCTGAATTCTCAATACAACCAACCCAGCAAAGTCATCTCTAGAAAGTATGCTCTCAGTGTGTGTCCTCTGCAAGTTTAGACATAAGTTACAGTGCTTCTAAACATCAACTAGTGTTCCATTTGCTGGAGAAAATTAGATGGCAAAGGATTGTTGGTCTTTACTGTGTTCACGTGCATTTTCACATACCCAGTTTTGTTTTAACAGATTTGAGTTCCTACAGCCATGGCACCAGTATAATGCTTATTATGAATTTAAAAAACAGTTCTTCCTTCAAAAAGAGAAAAGTGACAACAGCCAGGTACGTGTATGTTTGTATATATGTGTGTGTATATATATAAAATCCAATGTAAATGAGAAGTGGACTTGCTTATCTGTTTTTTTTCACCGTGAGACACCTTAAAAACATAACACTGAATTATGGAGAAATTGTTCAGCAAAGGATGTCAATACTTTTTGTTTGTTTCTTTCTTTTTAGTTTTGTATAGCATTTAAATAAGGATATATGAGGTGGTGTAATGTGTAGTTCTTTCTTCTTAGTATAAGCAGCCACTCAGTGTGGTCATAATACCAAATGACAACGTGAAAGTCTTTTGGCTTCCTACACAAGGGAATGTATGCTTTGTGGAGGTTTAAACCTTTGTAGGATTGAGATTAATGTTCTGTTGTCAGAAAGTTTAGGTATAGCTTTTTAACAACCATGTCTTCTTGTATACCTCATGGTTCTTTGTAGAACAGTAGCTAGACTGCTTTTCTGACATGCTTTTTTCTGAGGGAAGTTTTGTTAAAGAAGAGTTCTGTCATGATTGATTGAAACAATATTGGAGCTTCAGAATCTCCCGTCAGTTTCCTGCTTGTTTTGCTACTTGTAGTCCATGTTATTAGATTATACCCAGGCTTGGAATCCTTGTTTCTTTCTAACTGTTCTCACATTAGCTAATTTCATTAGATTGTTCTCTTACTGAAAAGAAAATTGCAAATAATATCAGAAATACGTTATCTGATGTTAACTTTTCATGGGAAAGAGCTATTTTTTTTTTAGGCCCTATGTCATTTGTCATCTCAAGGCTTAGATTGGGGAGCCTTAAACTGAAGAAGGTAGGCCTGTGGGTAAACTCCTCAAAATCACTTTCTGGAAAATGAAGAAATTCAGTATTAGTTGCTGTTTGAAACAGTGTTTCTAATATTTTGTTTTAATAGTGAAAAATATGTTGAAAGCACTATTTTTAAAGATAAAATATGGTAAATATGATCTTTACTCAGTTGATAAATTAGACAAAATTGTCCTATACCACAATGCTGAGTGTTATTCTAGAATTTATTGACAAACCAGTGGGATGAATTCATAATAATTCCTTAATAAGGAATTGTTAGCATTTGGGGGGGAATTGTACACTAACCAAAGTGTAATGCTAAAACATTCATTTTAATGTTCAAATGAGTACAGCTAAGAAGCAAGCAGAAACTAGTTGAAGTCCCTTGAGGCCCTGTATAGCAATGCATATTTCCTGCTGCATGGTTTTGTAGATAATGCCATTCTCTTTAATTTTTTAGAATCATTATTTCAATATTATCTTTATGCTTTAGTGATGTGTATATAGGCAACTAAGGCAGTTGATTGTTCTCCTTTTGGCCATTAAAGTTAATAAGGAATTCTACTGCTGGCTTCATAAATACAGGATGAAGTCCTTGCTTTTCTTGTGCTTTTCCCCTTCGAGAATTTTCAGGAATGAGTTCTGTTGGTCAGGGAATGGCTGCAGGGAGCAATGAAAGGTTCTCTTCAGTACCTGTTGTTTCAACATTAAGTATACTTAACAGCAGCCAGTGAAAAGCAACGAAACTCTTTACTGAGAGAGGCTCATTTAAGTGTTACATTACTTACTGTCATAGCCTGACTCACCATATAAACATTTTTAATGTTCTACAATATCCATCTTAATTTTTTTATGCTGAGAGTTTAGAGGTTGTCCTGAGTGATTCAGTTATGTAATAGAACCAGTGATTCTTTACTCTCTTGAAAATCTCAGCACATCAGTACTGTATCAGTTGTATGTCACAAAAATACATTGATAGGCCTTGTAAAACTTGGTCTTGTGAGGAAGGTATCATGCAATTGTATGTTAGGAAAACATGTCATAAGCTTTCATTTTGTTGCTCTGAATTAACTTTAATGAATTTTTTCCTGGACCATGGAGATCAAGACCTGAAATAATATTTTTTGAAAAAGAGAAGTATATGCTTTTAGGATCTAATTTTTAAAATTATTTTTTAAAACAGTTTTTGGAAAAGTGTTCCAGCTGAAGAACACTTTCTTCACTTAAAATAAGAACATATTCTTACTGTAGGTCTGTACTGTGGCCTGTGAGTTTACACAAAGCAGTGCATGATTTATAAGAAGCAGATGTTGGTTATAAGTGCTTATTGATATAAAATTAGTTGTTACATGATTAGCTGATAATGTCATTTTTGAAGTGGCTAGCAAAATAGCAGCTCCACAGACATTGCATGAATTTCTTAGTTAACTACCTAGTTAATAAGTTTGCACATTTATTTTTAAAAGGGAGTACCTTCATCTGAAGATGTTCCATCAGATACCACTGGTGATACACAAAGCGAGACTCAGTTTGCAGATGAACATGCACCTGAAGATGGATCTGAGCCAAGTGCTAAGGGAGTTCTGGGAACTAAAAAGGATGTTCCTGCTTCTAAAGCTGTTAGTGATGGCAAACTGGTGAAAGGTAGGTTAACATGATTTGTTGGGCATACAAATTTTTCTTAGCATCATTTTTAACTAATAAAAAAAAGGTGCAGGAGAGGCAGGGGGGAAAGTAGGGAAAGGAATTTCATTATGTGGAAAATGTCTTCACTGAAAGCATCAAAAAAAGACTCAGGTAAGTAATTTGATAGCTTTCAAATTCTTTCTTACCAGACTATCAAGTATTTATGGTCTGACAGAATAAATTGGTTTATTTCAATTTTTTGGCAAAGTCAAAGGCTTTCATCAGTGACCCCAGGGGAATCTTATTTTTGTCATTTACAATTTGACAGTTACAAGCTCAGGATGAGAAAGAAGTTATTCCTTCTGAATAAAAGCAGTGGTCTTATTGGCATATGGGGGAAGCACACTGGGCTTATTACTCAGTTGCTCAGTCTTCCTATGTTGGATTTTAATCATACTGGAATAAAAGATCTTTTTTGATGTAAGAGGAATATTTTTCCTCTTGCAGTTGTAGCAGCAGAGGGACAAAATGGGAGAATCTCTTGGAAGCCAGAGTTACCTAACACATTATTAGTGTCCTGAGTTGGAGGAGTGATACCTGGGAATGGATTTTCAGGCCTATCAAGAAAAGACATCTTAACATTTCTTCTTTTCAGTAAAAACTACAAACTTAAATATTTTAAATAGAAATGAAAGCCACTGAAAAAAAAAAATTAAAACAGGAAAAATACTCTTGACCTGTGTTCCCATGGATGGATACTGCCTTCCTGCGTACAAACTTAAATATTTTAAATAGAAATGAAGGCCACTGAAAAAAAAAAATTAAAACGAAAAATACTCTTGACGTGTGTTCCCATGGATGGATACTGCCTTCCTGCCACTTCAGTGGCTTTCTTGGTTGGTGATAAGCTTATCTACTCCTTGTGGTTCCTTTGGAATTTGTGTATCTTCCTGTTCCTCACTGGAATTTCTTTCCCTCCATGGACTAGAACCTCCTAGCTCTTTGCTGTAGTTGTCTGACTGTCCATATTCTGAAATTTCTTCTCTGGGCAGGTTAAGTAGCTTCCCCAGGGAAGAAGCAATCTGTCCTGTCTTCAAAGATGCCTTTTAAGAGAATGTAGTATACAACAAAAGATTTAGTTGTTTCTTGTTGTGTTATAAATAAATGGCAAACTGGAACCCATACTTTATAATTTGGGCAGATTTTTATTATTAATGATGGAATCTAACCAGTAAGTCTTTTCATGACGATCCTATTCCTATAAACTTTCATTTCCTCTAATATGGTACAAATACCAGTTTCTTATAACCTAAATACAGTACGTTTCTTCAAGACAAACATAACATCCACATTAGATTTTTATTCTGCCTTTGATGGAGTAAAATCCTATTGTAAGATTTGTGTTGTCATTTTAAAAAGTTGGAAAATTCCTATTACACTATCTCTTCTATTGGAATTCTTGAGTTCTTTATTTCTGAGCCTGTTTCCTTACCCCAGAATTACAAGAAGCAAAGCTTGTATTTTACAAACATTGGTATGTAATTTAATAACTGTATTTGAATTTCCCTAACTGAAATCTTATAGGATATATATATATATATGCAAAATGCATCTGAGGAAGATTATTACAGCAGACCATATGGTAATATGTTGCATTGCTTGAGATTTGTGAGAAATTCCATTCTTTATTTTCAGAAGTTGCATTTTCGATGAATGGTTTAGAAATTAATTCTGTATTTTTTCCAGAAAATGGTTCTCAAAAAACATTCCAATGAAAATTCTTTGAAGGAAAAGGCTGAGTTCAGACTTAAATATAGTTATATATAGGCTATGCTTAATATTTTTTGAAGGTCCATTAATACAACCTAACTTGAAATAATCCACGATTTCATTTTTACTGTGGTACTCCATGTTTTTTACAGGCATTCCTTTTCCTTTGAGTGTGCTGGCATGTGTGTGTTGGGCTGTCTTTTTGTGTTGGAGTAGCCGGGGCTCCACAAATCTTGCTACAGTAAGAGAAGCAAAGACATTTGGGGAACAGTACTTAGCTTCTGCATTTATATCTCCTGTAATGAAATGTTGTTAACTCCCCAAAGCAATTAATTTTCATATAGATGGAAATAAGCCTTTAAATACTGTTCTGTGAGCCTGCCAAATGCTATTGTTGTGCAAACTGTCAATTTAGTGTGAAGGAAGCATTAGGGACCAGATCATACCGGAGTGTGTCAGATAGGAGCCTGAGCACAGTGTGTTTTCATCTTAAGCCTGGAAGAGTAGACTGTTCATTTGGGAAAATAAGTAGTACTGAAACAAAAATGTATTTGGGACAGAACATGAAATTGTTTATTTCATCTCAGGAAATGGAATTCCTGAAATGGTTTAGAATACCTTTCTTTTTCCCTGCTGCCACTTAAGTATGAGAGCAAAACTTTGAGATCTTCACAAGGCAAATGAAGCTTTCAACATTTGGATGGGTTTTTTTAGTTGAAAAAAAATAAAACAAAACACAAAAAAGAAAAAATGGTTGTGTTGTCCTTTTCCCCAAAATAATTAGCATAACATAAGAATGATACAGGTTTGTGGGGTTTTTTTTTTGTTTTTTATAGTACATGAGTAATGGATGAAGTCAAGAAATTCCAGCTGCTTTCTACTGTTGTCTAATGATGTGTAAAATCTTACCCGTTCATTCACAGCATCATTTGCTCCAATAAGCTTTGCAATCAAGGCCAAAGAAAATGACCTTCTTCCTTTGGAGAAAAACCGTGTGAAATTAGATGATGACAGTGATGAGGAGGAAGAAGAGGGCAAGGAAGGCCAAGAGAATGCTAGTAGTGCTTCAAACCACACTCCAGCTGTTGCTGCTCCTTGTCCTGCTGCTGAAGAGAAAAAACCTCAACTTACGCAGGAAGAGTTGGAAGCTAAACAAGGTATCCCATGTTACACTGAAAACAGCACAAAAGATTGAGTACGTCAGGCAAATTACAAAACTGTCATGTGCATAAGTGTGGTGTTGTAGGTATTTGAGTCTTCTCTAAGCCATGCTAACGGGAAGCAGAATTCTTTTCCCAGAGTTTCCTGCTTATTATTAAGAATAAAATCTTCATTGGTTGCTCAGCTAAAGTGAAACTTGTAACACACTGCAGTTGAGTACCTTGCCCTAGTGCATGATCTTTCTGAATTTTATTTTGTTTTTCCATTACAACATCTGAGTAAAACACTAAACTTCTAGTTTCCAGATTGCATTAAGAGAGCCCAGAAAAGGCATATCCGATTCTCATTTTCTTCAGAGAACAATTGAAATGCTTCAAGCTATTTTTTTGTTATATAGCACTGCCATATAGACTAATATCACCTTGCTGATGGTTTGTTAGTCTTATAATACAGTGCCATTAAGTCTTTGTATAGGTTTTTCCTGCTACTGTGTTTATGTATGTAATGATCTTTTAGAGGGATCAAATTTCCCGTTGGTCCCCAAGGCTGTTTCACAGCAAAGTGTTTAATAAAGTGGAGATGCTGTTAGTGTTTACCAGCTGAAAACTTAATATTTCTCTTACAACTATGAGTATGCTGAAGTAATTTAATTTTTCATATTCAAAGTGGTTTCATTTTGCTCCTATGTTGTAGTTCCTCTGTAAACTTTAGTAGCACAAAGTATGCTGTGGTGATCCTTCTAAAGCAAATACGAGATATTTGTTATGATAATAACCATGGAAGTGTAAAACGTGTTTGGAAAAAGTTCTGTTTTAAAAACACTGCAATGGAACAAAAAAGCTAGTTGTATTGTACATGGACAGAACACAAAAGTGGAAGTGTAAGATGAAAAAAATTAGGCAAAATATCCATTGGGTACATAGTTAAGTAAATTGTCTTTCTGTAATCACATATTAGGAACTGTTGGTTGTAACAAGCATGCAATAGTTGCTGAAAATTTCTGCTGCAGCCTTTTGTGTAAACATTTTAAGATGTATGTAAATAGGGCTGGAAATGTAAGATGGAGATCAGAGAGGGAGCAAAATGGAGAGTTTGCATTGCTTTAACAAGTGCAAGAAAAAGCTTCTGCATTTACAGTGCTACTTCTTTAAATAGCTTTTGTTAAATAGAAAAGGACAAGTCCTCTGAATTATCAGATTGGATTTCCATGTCCTTTTTCTTATGCTTAAAAACTTCTACTTCACCTGTTCTGCTTTTCATTAAGCAAATGTTGTATCTCTGATTTAAGATATTTTGCAATTCGTAATTTCAAGCTTATGGATCCTTATTGTGTCTTTGAATGGATGTATTAGAAAGATTTGAGAATGGTTGGAGGGGCTGGTTGGTTGGTTGTGTTGGAATGTGTGTTTATTTCAAGGAAGCACAAGTTCCCCAACCATAACCGACTTTGTGCTTAATTGTCTTTCCCAGCAAAGCAGAAACTAGAGGATAGATTAGCAGCTGCAGCAAGAGAGAAGCTTGCACAGGCCTCCAAAGAATCAAAAGAAAAGCAGCTACAAGCAGAGCGCAAAAGGAAAGCTGCGCTGTTCTTGCAGACCCTGAAAAACCCTCTGGCAGAGGCAGAAGCGGAGAAAGTGGAAGATAATTCCTTCAGTAACGAGGTAAGCAGGAAATAAATTTCTTGTTGCCATAAAGCTAGCAGAAAACTTCCTGAAAGCATTTGAATCTGACAGTATGTTATGAAGTTGAATCAAGGGAGAGCTTTTCTAAATGGGAAGAAATCTCAATTTTTAAACACTATTAATGTGGGGTTTTTTTGTTCTCTTACAAGTGCCTCTCGTCTTACTAAAGAAATTACAGAGAAATGTGGTGTGTATTTGAGAGGTCAGTTAGCCAGTTACAGGAAGGAAAATGAACTAGCAAGTTTAACTCTCTGCTAGTGGCCCATGAATTCAAATGCTACCTTTCAAGCATATTGTGATATCTGTTGTTATATTTACTTATTCAATGTGTATTTTGAAGTGAGTAGACATCTTGAAGTTCAGAAATTATTTGTGGGCAACAAGACTCATTTTGCACCTGTTCTGTCGTGAAACTGAGATGAATAGTGAACTGATCTATGTGATTCAAGATTTCTGGCTGGGACATCCTGAATCAAGAAAATAAATACATAGTTGGGACAAAACTAGGTCATATAGTGGTTGCTTTTCATCACCTGAAAACCTTAGAATGCTAGGATGTTTTAGGCCCAAGTTTAGTATAGGAGTTATAAAACATTTTCATTTTGTTTTGTTATAATGGTGTGATTTTAAAAATAAAGCTAAATTTACAGGTAGTGGTACAAAATTCGAGCAAAAATATATATGCATGGTATTCACCAGATATAGTCAACAAAGAGTCAAAATAAAAAACAGTGAAATTATTGAGAGGGCTAATTATTCTGCTAGCTGCCATCCAGAGAACTGGCAGCAAGTGCATTGCCTGTACCTTTTTGATCATAAAATGACCTAATCCATTGGGTTTGTTCAGCAGAATCTCTTATTTTTGAAAGTAGAAGCAAGTATCTTTCTGCAGCAAATAAATTTGGAGCATTAGTATTCCTGCACCTCTTTCAAAGAACAGTTCTTGATTCAAACCCTCTGCTTCTTTCCAGAGAAAGATCTGAAACAGGCAGAACTATTACCAGTCAGTCTGTTGATGAGTAGTTGCAATAAAATATATTTTTGGGTAGAGCCTCCAGAAATCTGTTTTATAAGACTTTAATTTTTTTAGTAGCCAAGGTTAAAGAGGAACCTTAGACTAAAAGCCTTCAGGAATGAAACTGTAAAAACCTGTACTAATGCTTTTTAAAATAGTTAAGAAATAATGTGTTTTATATAAACCCTTTCTGATTTCAATAAAATAGCTGGTTGTAAAAGCCTAATGAGGCATCTGAATTTATTATATAGGAAAATCCTTAAAGTATTGATTTGTTCATGCGTCATAGCACTGTCCTGGAGCTTTTCTCTCCACCTGCAGGTTTTGGCAGCTGTATTCTCTACCAAAGAGTCACTTTCCCATTTACATTGTATATTTTTCATTTAAGGTTGTAATTGCTTAACTTCATGCATGGAGGAGAATAAACTTTGCACTCAAATTCTGTTATTTTTTCGTTTTCCCTTGTTCCAGCTTTTTTATTTCCTGGAATCTTAATTTAATCATTTTCTTTCCAGTTATAAGCTGGTTGTAAAAGCCTAATGAGGCATCTGAATTTATTATATAGGAAAATCCTTAAAGTATTGATTTGTTCATGCGTCATAGCACTGTCCTGGAGCTTTTCTCTCCACCTGCAGGTTTTGGCAGCTGTATTCTCTACCAAAGAGTCACTTTCCCATTTACATTGTATATTTTTCATTTAAGGTTGTAATTGCTTAACTTCATGCATGGAGGAGAATAAACTTTGCACTCAAATTCTGTTATTTTTTCGTTTTCCCTTGTTCCAGCTTTTTAACTGAGACACTCTTTGTTTCTGCCAGTGCTTGTCCTAGCTTAAGAAGTGATAATTTTACTTCTAGGAGTGTCACTCATTTTTACTCAGCCTAAGCATCATTATATCATAAGTACATCCCAATCCAGTATGATCTGATGCTTGCTTGCTAAAAGATGGGTGACTCTGTGTTTCCAGCACCTGTACCAACACTTCCAACTAATCCAGACAGTATCTCTTCTTAATAGAAGAAAAATTGTTAAATCATGTTTGGGATTCTCATTGCTACTGCTAACAAATTTTCCCTGACTGTCACAAGTATTTAGTACTTTTTACCCGTTATATACAAAAGAGCAAATGCAAAGGGACAAACGACAGTGCAAAACTTCCCAAACTTACAATTCTGCTTTCCTTCTCAAGGGAATTTGTCAAGGACATAGATATCTCTCAGCTGTGGTTCTTTAGATGTTTTTAGCAAATCAGTTTTTCTTTAAAAAAATGTCTTTTTTCTTCTTCCATGTATGTACAGTTTCAGAGAAGTCACCTCTGTTTCTCACAAAAAAAATCCAGTGTATTTAAGAATTTTGAAGTAAGCAGTTAAAGTGATTGTCACCCGCAGAAGTAATTTGGGGATACTGTGTTAATGAACAGTGTAAAATGCCATAATGTCTTTGGAAGTAATGTTCTTCCTAGGTCTAGTTGGCTTATTGACATGCTTGTTAGGTTTATGTAGAATATATGTGTATAGATTTTTGCATATAAAAGTTTACTCTGAAACATGTATGTCATTCAAGCTGTTGTCCTTCCAACTGCCATCTTTGAAAAAGCTTCCATCTACATTTGTTTCAATGCATTGTCTGCCTTTTTGGTCTGCTTGCCTGGTTTGCCTATTTGATTCAAGAAATTTAATGGAATAAGATAAGTGAAATCCTATTGTGGATTTGTTAACCTCTGTTGTAATACACTGAGAAATCAGTGAGCTGCATCACGATGTCTAAATCAGTTCATAAATAAATATGTAGCACAGGAGTTTTTGAAGCTTTTTCAGTCAAGTTTCAGAAGCAAAAGATGCATTTAAAAACACTGCAAAAGTAACAAGAAGTAACTACAGTGGTTGTAATTTAAAAAAAAAAAAGGCAAATAAAATTAGTTTCATAGTTTGATTAGTGGAGTTAGTAGGGAAAATTTCAGAAAATGGAAGGAAAAAATAATAAGTCGACCAAAAATGTCATTTAATGTATTTAATTTCCCATTTTGGAGGAAGGAGTATCCAATGAAGAGTCCAGGAAACAGAGATTGATGTGCGATGATCAAAAAGTTAATGTAGTGGAATGATTTTTGTAACTTAAAATGTGTCTCAAAAAATGGAGTAATGACTGAGATGTATAATAAAGCATGAAGAGGAGCTGAGAATGTCCATGGTAGATGTGTAATTCCCATGAGATTGCCCCTGTCTAGTAGATACAAAAACTCGTAATGCTATTTATGAGTATACACAGTATACATTTGTGCTGAAAACCTGCTTATCACACTGTAGAAATGCATTACATGAGCAAAGCTTTTTTGACCTCTGTCAGATTTTCCTGATACCTTGGATTTTTTGAAAGAAGTGCTGGCACTAAGGATGCATTATACCTTTAAATAAAATTGATTCCACTAACTGTGTGTAAAGGACAGTTAATACCACAGAACATAGTGCTTTCAAGCTTATTGGCTTCAGCTGAATCTTAAAAACAGTCAGATCTACTTTTTTCTATAGCTGAATTACTTCTTTTATATGGTTTTCTGTTTTTCCTTAGAGTGAAATCAAGCAAGAGGAACAAAAGGCTGAAAAATGAGCTTGAGCTTGTCTGCCTTGTACCTCTGAATATAAAGATTCTATAGCACAAAGCAGAATTTATAATCTTTTAGATCTTTCACCTTCTCTGTTTTGAAACCCTGCTTTATCATTTGTTTCTTTAGATGTTGTGTCCTTACTTTTGCCCTGTATATAACAATATATATATATTTTTTCTCTATGGGAAGTAGTTTGTTTATGACTGAAACAGAAGTGTGCCATGTTTAAAAATAAGATGCTATTCAAGTTTTGCCAAGCATAACAGGATTCCCAGCAGTGGTACATGGTATAAGTCTTTCACACTGCTGAAGCTGATTCTACTTTTTTAGCAATTAATTGTAGATATTACTGTGTTCCTCTTTGGAATAATAATGTATAATTTTATAATTGCATGTTAACATTAATTTGTGAGAAAAATGTAATTGTTGAATTAAAACTACCTAATAAGAATTTAAAGAAAGCTTTTGAATATTTCAGGGCCATTCTTATTTTACTCTTTTTTTCCCCCAGAATATAGGTATTTCTGTTTTCTGTTTAGTATGCAAGAGGGCCATAAAATAATGTGGCATTTGGGGAACAGATAAATGCTGGCATTTGGAATTTTTTTTATTATAAGAACACTACTATCAGAAACTATGTGGGAGTTGTAATTTCTCATTCTGTGAATACTTTAATTAATATTTAATGGAGGGAAGGTAAATATCAGGAGCTGCCATCTTAATTAAGACAGGTGAGGAATCTAAGAATGTTCTATGCCTTTATTTCTGGTCTTCAATGTACTCACGATAAAAAGGCATGTTGATCCTTACAGGAAACAGGTTGACAGCCATGAATTTCTTTACAGTTGGCCCTTCAAAATTGAGAATGCAAAATTCTGTCATTTTTTTAAGACTATCAGGGTACAGTCAGAGCTGTGTTTCACTGCAGCAGCTAAATCCTGATGAAACTGTTTATTTTAGTCTTTGAGTATTAAGTATTTAATTTGTTCTGTTGGAACTTATTTTATAGGAAATGTTTCTTTCACTTCTGTTCAATAGGTTTGGGCCAATTTATTGAGGCTAGAACTAAGGAACTCATCTACAAGCCGTAACTGCTTGCTTTCATGTACAGAGCAATCATACATTTCCATTGTTGGAAGTTAATTCTCAGAATGCTTCACTATAAGCTTTGGAGAATCTGCAGTAAGAAGGGTGCAGTGGGTAGAAAAGGATCTGGAGTATTTTCAGATTTTAATGAAGTAAAATAATTGTTGATTAACTCTTCACAGGTCTAACATTCTTCACTTTCCAATTTTGATCTAACATAGGATTGAAATGACTGCGAAATTCAGCTGTTCTGAACAGAACAAATACTAGCTACTTGTAAAAGTGTTAGTAATGTTATTGATAATGTTTACCAGTTGATTTTGTTTATACCAGGAACAATGCTAATGTTTTGTTCTGTTGCAGTAGGCAACTTTTGGTTCACTTCTAATGTTGGCTTTGTGTATTGGATTAAGTAGTGTAACCCCAGAATAACTAATGTGTGTTCTGGTCTTATGAATATTGCAAATATGCAAATGGAAAATGAACTGAAGTCCTCGTTTCTGTTCTCATACAGCTATGAATTATTCCTGATACAGGAATACATTTCCTAACTTATTCCTCCTAAATGAGATTTGTTGAATCATCTTTGTTTTCCAAAAGGTTTTTCTGAAACATTTTTTTATACCAAGTATTAAATGTTGGAAGTGTCATTTTAGTCATATTTGTGCTTCAGTCACGCAGATAAAATACTGAAGAACAACTCTGCCAGTGAAACTCTGACACGTTTAATAAAGGGCAAAAAAAAATGTGCTGTTACCCAAAAGGTACAGAAAAGTGAAATTCAATGAATGCTATCTGAATGCAGTGTAGCTTCTTAGAGTTCTCAAAAAATTTTAAATCTCTCATCCCTTGAGATGCATAATAAAATTCATCAGGTAACCAGTTTGTTGCAATGCTTTCCAAAGCTATGTTCTACTGGTCTGCAGATCTGGATAATCTGATGAGGAAAACAGAGGGTTCCTGCCTTATGCCATCTCCCAGTATCTGTGCTTGCTTTGTTTTTTTAATTATTTTTTTTTCTCTGTATTCATGCCTCCAATTATAGTTCCCATTGCCTTAGTTTGCCTGAATCAGTTTTTAGTACTAAAAACACAAACTATTGACAGCTTCTCCTATTTGCCAGATTATTTTTTTTTCCAAATATTTTTATTCAGCAGCATTATTTATAGACCTAGAAATTTTCTTTTGGCTTGGCAACTTGCTGACTTTAAATTCTTTCACTGAGCTCTGTGTTCTGCTCTGATGGTGAATCAGGTCATTTCGCTGATGATTTTTTTCTTGAAGGTGACCAGTTGCCTCTGAGGAAATCAGCACATTAGTTCACAGGTGATTGTATCATTGTGACCTGACAACTTGCTTATGGTGGATACAAAGGGGTGCTTAGCATTGTGGGGTTCTTCTTTCAGATTGTTGAGAGAATCTGTGTGAGCTACAAGTAGAAGTGTCATTAATTTATTATATCCCTTTTTGGCAGTGCTATACTAGGTTGTGTTTTAAGTGGCCAAATGAACTTGGATGCTGAAAACTGTATTTTTTAATTTTTTTTTTTCTTCCCTCTCTTGTTTACTCTACTTTGCCTACAGCTATTTTGTTTCAAGCTATTAGAGTTGTCTACTTCAAGGCAAACTGTTCTATTACATATTCAGTAATGTTCAAAGCAAAAACTGAGATACTGTATAAAGAGATGAATAACATTGTCAATGAAAAAATGTTGGCTGCAGTGATCACTAAGGAAACAAGTTTGGAAATGAGGTGTCTGCAGTTAAGTGTGGATTGTGAAGTTAGTGAAATTGGAAATGGGCCTCTGGTAAACCAGTCACTCATGACTCAGTTGTGATTAGTTACTGTCTTGACATATTCATAGTAGGAGAAGGAAAAGTAGGAAAAAGAAAGGAAAATATCACCTTTTTCTCATTTGATTACTTCAGATTTTAATGTATCTTAATTCCAATCACGGTAGGCATCCTTGTATCAAATGGTGAAAGTGTCAGACCAGGTGGAACAGAAATTATGACAGAGGGAAACTGATTTCTCCAGTTGCCTTGAAATGGCAGCTGGGGGAATGACAGGCTTTGAAATGAGGAGCATATCTAGTGTGCCTGACTTGAATTGTTCTATACAAGGTATTGAGCAAAATTCTCTCAGGTACAAGCTGATAATTTGAAAACTTCTTGTAGTATAGTATGTTTTGCTTAACTGACTCAAGTCAGCATTACACACTGAGCGTGAACCTTGTGCCATGGACCTGTTCTGTCTTTGAGATTAATACTTTTTATGATCTACCCAACCCTTTATATGTAAAACATTTATTATTAGTACAGAAATGATTTATATCGGCATTATTTCTTTTTGCTATTTTCCTTGAGGTTGTAGTCTAAACAGCACAGTTCAGGGATGAAAGTGACACTAAAACTTAGCTTTGAATATCAGTGGTTCCTGATGGTATTTTCAGGTTTATCCTTTTTTAAATAAGAGGGACAAATAGATAAAAAGATGTCTGATAGTACCCATTTTCTTTTAGAACACTTTTCTTCTAAAATAAAGATGAAAACTTCAAAACTACGTCCTAGTTTATCTGACAGTCTCAGTATGCATATCCCAGCTTGCATATGTATCTTTGGGGACCTGTATCAGCCTCTGCTAAATACTACTAGATGCAAGGTTTTTTTGACATGTCAGCCTTACTTATGCACACTTTACATAATACTTTAATAATAATGCAGCACCTTGAGGTTTTAAAGCATCCATGGGAGGTTAGTTGGTAATTGATTTAACAACTACTTTATTTTTGTCACACACTTTGTGAATTGAAAAATGTCAGGTTTCTATCTGCTTGCTGTTGTACTTGTTACCCAGCGTTTCTGCACAAAAACTATGTTGTATATTGTCAGAATTACCAAACAGGGTATCTTTTAACTTTCTTTGCCAGCACGTGCATGTATGTGGCATGCACAGTAGATGTAGCCCTGTTTAGTATAAAGGACTAGAGATGCTTTTATGTTTTTTTTCTACACTTCTAGGACTTTCTAAAATTAAAAATTTGCATGCAGCTTGGAAAACTGAACACTGTTCTTTGTTTACCTTCGATTTCAGAGTGTCAATAGTATACCAATTCCTGTGACTGCAGTCAGAACTTTACCCACCTTAGAAGTTAAACAAGCAGAAAGGCCTCCAAGCAAAAGCAAAGAGCCTCCTAGGGATGAAGAAAAAGAAAAGAAAAGAAAAAAACACAAGAAAAGATCTCGGTCAAGATCTCGATCACCATTCAAGTATCATTCATCATCTAAGTCCAGATCTAGATCACATTCAAAAGCAAAGCACTCACTTCCCACTGCTTATAGAACTGTCAGGCATTCAAGGTGGGTTTGGAAACCAAACATATTCTTTAGAGTTCTGTGTGGGCTAACACTTAAAATATTTTTGCACTTCTTTCCTTCTGTAAGCATCTTCATACCCATTAGAGTGTAGTCACCTTGAAGACAGTAAATAAATATAATCAAATGTGGGAGGTCTTTGAAAATAGTTTTAATGAAATAATGACTCAATGATTTCTAATTACATAGTGCAAAATTTGTACCAGTAAATGCTTTTTCACTCTGTTCTGTGAAATACCTAGCAATAACATTTAGGAATGTCATTGTAGCAGGAAGAGAACTTACTAACAAGTCGGTGGCTGTTGCTGGAGTAAAATAACCAGACAAAATTAAGACAAGAAATAGAGGTAGTGAACCAGGTGGTTGAACAGCAAAGCTCAGAAGGAAGGCAAGCAATTGGGTAGCATGTAAAAAAATATGATGAATGAGTGGCAGGGGAGAGATGACAGGAATCCAAGCAGGGTGAAAACAGAGTTCATGAGGAATGGAGACCATAGGAGAATCTACTGGAACTAATCTTTTTTGTGTCATCTTGAGTGTGCTTCCTGGCACAAATTAAATAACAGACACATAAAAGCTGTAATGTCATGAATCAACACAACACCATACTAAATCTGGTTGGTTATTTCCTAGGTAAGCTGTTGAATTCTACAACCTGAGAAGTCCAGTAAGGTTGCTGGTAGCTAGCTGAATTTTAAAATTGTTTTAGAACAACTGCACCCCATTCTTCATGTGAACTTGAGACATTCTCATCGGTGCTGAGTGGGTGCCTGTTGCCTTTGAGCTTTTTGCAGGCTGTATGAAATGCTTTTAGTGGCAGTTATATCAGATGGGAGACCTGTTAGAAGTCTGAATGTACCTTCTATCTATACATTTCATAAGAACATGATTAAATCTAAACTTCTGCCCCAGGACCTCTTGTAATTCAACTGTAATTAATACTTTTCTCCTGTGTCTAGTACTTAATATAGTGATTGTATTGGTTTACTTTAAGGTAGGCAGTAAAGGCAAGCAAGTTTTATGCAGGATGCATCAAGTGTCTCCTCATCTGGACAGTGATGTTGTTCTGTTTGGCCTCAGCTAGAGTACTCTGTCCAGTTTTGTGCATCCTTTAGAAGGAGGAATTAGGAGCAAGTTTAGAGGGAATCATAAAACATTTTCAAAATTAAAAAAAAAAGAAAAAAAGAAAGAAAGAAGGAGTTAGAAAAATGGTTTGGGAAGACTGAAGAAAGATGAAATGAATCTTCATGTACACTAAAAAAGAGGGAGTAGAACATTCTTCTTTAGTCCTTGGGTTTTGGACAATAAGTAATGGATTTGGATTGGTAGCAGAGAGACTAGAAAGCGTTTCACACTGTTCTGGTGGTAAAGGTAGTTAATACAGTTTGTGAATGCTCCATTGTGGGAAATTTCTGTATCAAGAATTATAGTTCAGAGAATATTGAATAGTCTTACTTATTGAAGTCTTTTCTAGTGTTGCCTTTCTAAGTAAAGTCCCCACGGTCTTGCATTGTACAAGAAATTGTGATGATTGAAAGTTTGCTTTATTGAAGGTGTTTGTTATGCCTTAACATAGTCACTGGATTTCCAAAATTAAAGCTCTTGCTCCTGAAACCAGAAAAATTGTAATCAAGAATGGGAGGCTGATTCATAAACCAGTCAGATACTGATGTGTTTTGTCTCTCAAATGTTCAGGCAGAAATAATGACTTGACTCAGTAATTGCCAAAAAAAAGATAAATGTTGCTGTCTTGCTAGAAGACACAACTGCTTTTCCTTCATTTTTTGATTTGTGTATGTATTTAGTGTTGATTCAGGGAAAATTATTTCCATGTGTTGTCTCATTCAAAACATTGCACCTTTCACATCTCTCTGCTCTTCAGTTTTCCCAGTCCTTCAGGTAGAACAGATTTTTTTTCCTAGATGCCCAGAACATTTTGTATTTTACTTCCTGCCGAATGAATAGTTCTGTAAAGACTCGTATCCTCCTGGGATAGTGTAAACTATTTGCAGAGGTTAATGTGTTCATCTTGTAGTAAATGGATGACACTTGGAGATAGTCTTTGTTGTGTGGACATCAGTGCTAAATTACACTGAAACATCCCTATTTTGAGTAACTGTGGCTTTAATATCTCAGTCTAATGTTTTGTCGTTTAGTTTTTGTTGCCTTATTCTGTTCAAAATGTATATTCTAATCTACAAATATCAACACAAAGTGATCTTGATGCTTTATTTTACCTCAAGAGCGGACTGAAAGAGGCTGAAATTTTCCCTTTTTGTAGTAATTACTGCTCCAACTCCTGTTAATCAAATAATTTAAAATAACAAACAAGATCTTTTTCTTAATATTTAATAACCTTCTCAGAGAGTAGCCTATTAAGTTTGAATTATGTGCACAGTGAATATAAGTATTTTGGATTTGAAGTTAATTAAACTATTATATTTAAATTAACTTTTGACAGACAAAAGAGGAGCTTGGCAATAAATTGTAATCTTGAAGTTGCAATAATGAGCACTCAACATGTGCTCTATGTTTGGGGAACAGTCTTAAAGCCTTAGATTTTTTGAGTTTTCCTTATGAACATTAGTTGAGCTGTTTAAAACAACTTTGTGAGTAGTTACTGTTTATGGTATAAGATGTTTCAATAAGTTTATAAACCACCTTTACCATATAACTTATTGTGACAAGTTAATATGGAATGAGATGTGGTAAGTGAAGTTAAACACAGAAATTTAGAGGAGTTTTCTTTGTTCTTTATTCAAGTGATGTTCATTATGCTTTTACAGTTTTTTCCCTTTTTAGTTGGTATATCTTAATTTTTTTTTTTCCAAAGTGCATGTTGTGCTTAGAAATCCTACAGATTAACTTTGCAGTGTACTTCCCTGTATATAATATTATAGCACTTATTTGCAATTTAATTTTGGATTGTTAAGAGTTCTAGGGGCTCCGCTTCATTTAAAAATAGTTTTTGGAGGTAAAATACAATTTTCCTACGATTGCATTTTTTATATTTTTGAATGCAACTTCCAGCAGTATTAAATTTGAAAAATTCTGTTCAAATAAGGTGAAGTTGATTTAAAGCATGTTTGGATATTCATTTTTCTGGGTAGCACAGCCAAACCTGTTTTACAGAAACAAATTTTAAAAAATTGTACCTGTGTAAGGAACCCAGATATATTGGCTTAATTGTGGCATGTTGTGTGCTATTAACAATTTTCTATATAAATACATTTTATTTTTTTTTCCTGGAACAAAATTTAGTCCCATAAAACTCCTGGTATTGTACTGTTTTAATTCTAGACCAACATGACTGATTAAAGTTAAACAAAAGTCATGTAATAAGTAAACCACGTCCAAAAGTGCTGTAAGATATTGCAGCATGGATTGATTGGAGGTGTTGTTCCCAAAGAGGTCATTAGTTCTTACAAATAAGTACTTACTGTCAAAGATGGGGCACATTCATTAAGAGAAACGAACAGCTTTTGGTACCTTTTTGTCAGCTGTAGTAAATGCTTCACCATTGTCTTTTTTTCTAATGGACTCCCAAGCAGCATTGAAAGTTTGATGTGAAAAGCACCGGGCAGTGGGGCTCTTAAAGAAGTGCAGGTTGTTGCTCGCGGATGTTCTCAGAGTGCTGTTCCAGCTGAGCAGTTAGGCTTCACAGCTGGTTGGCAGTAAGTGTAAATAATGACAGTGTTTATTGTATCTCTGTTTTATCTGTCCTGCCAATAGATCTTTGCAGTATGTGATCGAATGATGTATTTGTATGTGTGAGTGTGGTCTGTGTGTGTACGGGCGAGGAGAGGAAGGGAAGCGAAGCACTTGTTATGTGCCAAGTGGTTTAGTGAGATGGTTGGGTGAAATTTGGTGCTCATTTTGAACTAGAGATGGAAAGTCTAAACTTCTCTTTGATATTGATGATTTTTCTTTGTACTGTCTAATAGTATGGTAGAATGAAGCCACATAATGTGTCCAGTTAATGAGTTATAAACAGTAATTAGTAGTGGCATACTTTATTAACAGGTTACTTTTCAGTAAGTTTGGATAGAGTTACACCTGTATGTGTGTTTCTGTTAAACTTTTTTCCTCAACGTTAGGAATTTGAAAGACTTGGAAGTAGCTGTTCTTTGTAAAAAAGGTTGGCTAAGGTTGTTTGTTGCTTTCTTTTTTTTTTTTTTTTTTTTTTTTTTTTTTTTTTTTTTTTTTTTTTTTTTTGTTTCCTCCTTCCAGGCTGATTTTCTTACTGCTGAGACAGCATCTGTGTTCATATAGTTTTAATTCCTATTTTGTAGTGAGACGTGCCAAGCTTTGTAACCCTTTGAACTTTTGGGATCCTACTAAGCACAAGTGATATTGCCTTTAAGGGAATAGAGTGCCTTTTGAAATAACAGTCTAATGAAAGTAATAATCTATGTATTGCCATAAAACTATTGAGCTGTTCTTAATTGCTTGAAACTAATGGCCAAAGTTCTTAACATTTGGTGATTGGAAGAATGTTGTAGAACCACAAATGTGAGTTCATGAAAATGAAGCTAACACCTTTTTCTTTCTGATTGTTTGGACTTTTTTTAGGCTGGTCCATATAGACATGTTTCACTAAGGTTCAGCTTTTGGTTAAGGGACTGAGCGTTTTCAGGATTCTAGTTAATACCAAAACTAGCACATTTTATTCTGAATGTGAAGTGTGTGCCTCCATATCACAGACTCACAGCATCCACAGGGACACTGAGCATGGAGCCGAGTCTGAGCAGCTCATCAATGGCAGCAGCAAGAGAGCGGGAAAATTATCAGGCAACTTCGACAACGAAAAGATTTCACTGCTGGAGCTCTTTTGAGGGAAATCCTGGTAAAATGTCAAGGTGTCTGACTGACCCCAAACTTTATAATCTGTTGGTTTTTTTCCTTTTTTAATCCTTCTGAATGGCCTGGTAAAGATCAGATTTCTAAGTGACAAAGCAGTTAATTTGCAACGTTTAACTGCCATTGTGATTATCTTTTTTCATTTTCAGTTGATCTCTTTTGTTGGAGGTGTAAGAGAAGTGGCTCAGGAGTGTGTGTATATGTATATTATATATATGGTGAGAGTCTACAGAAAATCAATGATTTCAGAAATGGCTTGTCTTTTAGTCACTGCTAATTAGGTATTTTCAACAATATGAATGTTTGGTATACATGGAATGACATACCTATACTAAGTCTTTAAAATAAATAAGCAACTAGAAGTAAAATTATTAGAACTATATACTTTAGTGAAGACAAAAGTAACTGGTACTACCAGGAGTTTTGGGTGAATTTGGGGTTCAGGGTTTCTTTTTTTCCAAGCTGGATTGCTGAATTGCCCCCTTTTCCATCATCCCTCTTCCCCTTCGTCTCATAGGACTTATTTCTTTTGTTTTGTTATTAAGGAATACTCAGGTTTTACTTGCACATCCCCTTAATTCCAAATCCTAGAGAAAACGAGTTAAGCTCTGAAGTTGATTTCTGATCTTAACTGGGCATTTCTTTTTTCTCTCTTGATATCTTTCTCTATCTCTCTTTCACTCTTCTAGGAAAAAATATCTCAAGTCAAAGTGTTAGTTGCAAACAACGCTGGTCACGGCTTGTTGGTCACTAGCACAGGTGAAAATACTGGCTTAGGGTTATTCTGCAGCATCAGGGACAAAGTTTCCTGGACTTGTCAGTGTTGGAAATGTGCTGAAAATAAAAATTTGTATTTATCTCTATGATGCAGCAGTTCTAAAAACATACCAGTAATTTAAGGAGAGAAGGTGAGGCCTGACAATCCCAGGCTTTGAACCGAATTGGAGTTCTGCAGACCAATGTTAATGAACTCCATTGCCACACAAGGTAACTGGGCTAAAGTAAAACTTTCCCACCTACGAATGCAGAATTCACATTAAAACACAATATAAAAAAATGATAGAGGATTTTTTCTCCCCTATTGGGAGTGAAGAGCAATGGATAACTATGTCCTAAATATGTAAGAAATTTTTAGGCAGCTGACAAGTCTTGGAGACTAAATACCCATGTGGGTATAAAATAGACATTTGAAAGGTGTTAGTTTTGCATTTGGTGACAGCACAATTCCACTGAAATAAAAGGAATGAAATAAGTAACTAAAAGCAAGCTTTTGGATGTTTTTTTCCTGCTCAGGTCACGATCAAGGTCACCTAGGAGAAGGGCTCACACACCGGAGAGGCGGAGAGATGAAAGAAGTGTTCCAACAGCTTATCGCATCAGTAACAGTCCTGGGAACAGCAGGAAACACCCACGGTCCAAGTAGGTATACCTGGTCCTGGGGAAGGTTATGTCCTGGCATCCTAAGAGACTTCAAAGATTGCCTCATCTGTTGTATACTGCCTAGGTAGAACTTAGGTTTTTTATTTTCTGGAACTTCACAGACAAATACTTCTGTGGAGAACAAAACAATAGTAGCAGCACTCATTCTTCTTCCCCTTTCTTACATTTGTTTGAAGACTAAATGTACAACCAAATCAGTAAAGGTTAATACACTACTGTGTCTAAGCTGTGAGAGTTCAGATTTTATTTCAACTTCCCTATTTCCTCTTGTTGGGTCATCTTCTCATGCTCTGCATTTGCAAGCTGTATGACCTCTTCTCAGGTCTGCACAATTTTCTAAAAATAGAAAATTGATAAACACATTCATTCAGTTGTTATTATGTTTGTTCATCATAATCTGAGATGAAAAACACCAGAAAAGCATACTGAAAAATATTCTTCTTGCATGATGAATGTTTGCTTAGATTTTCAAGAATTAAGTATGAAACGTGTTCCACAACTTGATTACATGATGATGTTTTAAGAAACAGAGCAATTACAGTACATCATTAGCTAGTCAAGGAATAACTTCGTAGCTGGTGTTTTTTGTATAGTCATGAGAATGTTAAGAGGCCAGTAGAGCTGTGGGTTTTTTCTTCTGCCACTTAATGCAAAATAAAAGTGTAAGAAAATTTTGCAATTTTAAGTCTTGAATATTAAGTTATATTTAAAAATCAGATATTTGTATGATAAATTCTAAGCACCAGAGGTGTACAGTGTTTATAGGGAATTTAGTATGTTATAGCATAGCTGCTTTAAAGTAGCAAATTCCTAAGAAGGCCAAAATAAAGGAACCAATATTAATGAATCAAATATTGAGTCAATAGTGAACACATCAAAAATCCTTTGTTCCTACTGTCACAGTGACAAACGTTTGTATAACGTGATTTCCAAATTATAAACAGTTTACACTTAAAACATATTGCTAGGTCTGGGTTTGTTTGACTGGCATGCAAGAGCTTGCTTGTAATTTTAAGCCTGCAATTCATTTTGTTATAGATTGAGTCACAAGAGAAGGAGTAATTTATTTTAAAAAGCAAACAAACCAACCATGGATTTGCCTTTTAGATCATTTGCACAGCTATGACTCCATGGTTTGTTCATTTATGAGCTAGGAAGATTGTAAGGGACATAAACTCTTACATTTCTCATTATATTCTAAGTGTCTGATGTTGTTTGGTAAGGAACTTTCCTATGGCAAAGTTATTCTGCAAATCTCCAGTGAAAGACTTGTTTTCGTCCTTCAGACTACCAGATACTAGCCAGTAATTCCAGTCTACCCAGGAAGCAGCATTCCAAGTGAGAACCTCAGGTACTAGTAGCTGCCTAATGTAATATGTTAAAAAGAGCTGCTGGGAAAGTATTTTGCAGAACCATAGAAGTACAGTGTTGAGGTAAAACTCTAATGCTTCCTGAATGCAGAAGTATCCTGTGGAAAAAGGCTACATCAGCTTTTAGCAGCACGAAACTGGGCTAGTGTAATAGTGCTTAAACTATCATCTAATAAAACAATTTCTTCTCACAGAAGTCCTCATGAAAAGAAGAAGAAGAGGCGGTCTAGATCACGTACCAAGTCCAAAGCTAGATCTCCTTCACCATCCATGTCACCAGGCAGACCATCCACACACAAAAATTCTGTACATTCAACTAGTGTCTCTCCTGTGGAGAGCAGGGAATCCAGCCAGGAACGCTCCAGGTAATATGCCCTTTTACTGTAAAAATGTGCTGATGTCTTTTGACTGTGAGTGTGGGTTTTGACTTAACTTAGATGGTGAGAAGCTCTGTATGTGTTGTGTGTGCACAGTAAAAGCAGAAGACACTGGGAGGGCAGCAGTGTGCATCAGTCTAATGAAGACATTGGTTGTCTGTTGCCTACTCCACATACTCTTACAGGGAAACTGGTGCAGAAAATTCTGCAACCTAAATGTAAGTTAGAAGCTGGAAACTCACAAAATCAGATAACTTTTTGAATTAATATTTTAATAGTGTTTTGAACTGTGTGTGCAAGATTCATAATTAAATTATTTCTGCGGTATATAAAGCTGTCCTGTAAAATATTCCTAGGCTGTTCAGCTTCCTCTGTATTAGTTGTACAAGTGACTCTTCTGTTTGTGACTTATGGCATCTAGTTGAGTGAGGGAAATGTTGACTAATGTGAGAGACTTGTACAATAAAGCCCAAAATCATGATGCTGAGTGAAGTGCATTTTTAAAACCTCTACTATAAATTTCTAATTCTAATTTTACTTTTTCAGGGGAGTTTCTCAGGAAAAAGATGGCCAAATCTCTTCAGCAATTGTGTCTTCAGTGCAGAGTAAAATCACTCAGGTACAAGTAAACAAATTCAGTGTGTCCGTTGCATTGTTTTCTTCTCTTGCTACCTTGTACAATTTGCATATGATGTAGAGACATGAAGAATAATAATGAACTTCTGTTTGCTTATGAGAACAACAATTTTGTTGCAACTCTACCTACTGTCCTTTGAAGTTTAATTAAGCCTCTAAAGACCAAGCTAAATTCATAGGCTGCGGTATTTGAAAACTTTAAAAACATATGCCATTCTCACAGTGGTGATTGGTTAATGTTTGGCTTTAAATATTGTTTATGGCATAGCATTTGCTAGTTTAATATTAATCTGCTTACTTTAAGTGCAGGGGTAAGAGGAAGAAGGATTACTGTATTAAAATACAGTTCTTAGTTACTATTTGCAAAAAGTAAATAAGAGGAATGAAACTTTTGAGAATCTGCAAGATATTTCCCAACATAGATTAGTTCAGCATCTTTTTATCTTTAATGGCCCAAACAAATGTAATTTAACTAATTATTAGTAAGGTTAATTTGCTGCCCATGTACTGGCTGACTCTGACCAATTAAGTGTGTTGTCTCACTCAAATTCTTCCGTCTGTAAAATGGAATAATAATGCTGATGTCCCCTGTGAAGTGTTTTTGAGAGCTTCAGATGAATAAGGCTTTAAAAGATCTAAGGATCTTAGGCACAAATGCAACATAAATTAATTAAATAACTTCGTTACTGATTCACACTTTTTGTTTTGTGATTTTTTTTGCAAGCCTATCATTGAATGTTGTTTACATGAAATTTCATTTCCTTTTATAATGCTGTTCCTACTGGATACTCAGACAAGACTGAGAGTTGCTATTTGGTTTCACAATGGCTTTTCAGTCACTGTCATATGTGAAGATACCACTATTATGTAGACTTTTTGGTTTAGGTTTACAAAGCAAACAAAAAAAGCTTTATGTTATGGAGTAATTGTTAGCACTCTCCTCATTATTTTTTTTTATTTTTTTTAACCCTTCAGTAGTTGTTTATTCATTACAGTTTTTGTGAAGATCCCATCACAGTTTCTTTCCATTTCAGTCTGCTCAATTTCCGTGTTTTGTTTATAGAAACTGCTCTAAATATTTGTGCAGCACACCTTGCAGTGTGTAGTAAAAACAGGCATCAGTTTCTGTCACAGGCACTTCCTCCAAATTATTTCACTCCTTAGCCTAATAATGTTATCATGTTATCTTATGACCATGAATCTAGGTATTCTATGGGACTGGGGCATAACCTAACCCTTTCATGGAGGTTTTTTGCAGTCACGTGCTTTAGCTTTTACATGTCTGATCATTTCCCTTTGATTTTCTGCAGGATCTTATGGCCAAAGTGAGAGCAATGCTTGCAGCTTCCAAAAACCTACAAACTAGTGCCTCCTGAGTCCTGTTGAACTGACCATCAAGAAATTGTGTGAAAAAGAATAATACTAAAAAAACTGCCTCATCTCAAATGTACAGCTGAGCATAGCTCACTTGGTTCACAGCTCGTCTGATATTACCAGAAGTTGAGGATCTTTCTGCACAGAAGCCTCTCCTTGAGATTTCATGAAATTTTTCAGCCAGAATATCTTTGGAAAGTTTTTGGGTTTTGTAAATTGATTTTTTGACTAATTCTTCAGTAACATTTTATGATCAGCGGTGTCTATGTGTATATTTGTAAATATCATGTTTCTGTGAAAGAAGTATTAAACAATAATAAAGAAGGAAACATCTTTCATTAGCTGGAGTTTTTGTGGAGTCCTTAATTGTTTGTGGTTGACTTTTGTTGCAAATTAATTTTCTTTAATGCTTTCTGCTTTTAAAATTAACAACTGTCTAGCCTGCCTGACCACCTTAAGCTGAGAAATAATTCTTTCATGCACAGAATGATCACAAAAGAATGCTTGTTTGCTTGTGATCAGTTTTTGGACAAGGGACACATTTTTCTCTCCATCCTTTAGAAAGATCCCTAAGCCTCCGTTTGAGGAGTTGACCCTTTGAAGTCAGTATCTAATGGTCTGTAGCCCCTTTGTCTTAACGTGCCTTGTTCTCTGTAATCATAAACATACTGTATTTTTGTGGTCATTCCACAGGCACACTTGACAAAAATCTGGCATTCTTCTGATTTAATATCTTTCATACAGCTGACAAAGATGCTTGCTAACTTGTTGTACTGACCAGCTAACATTAGCAGAAAGCTTGTGGCCTCAGTGTAATTGCACATTTGTTTATTATGCATTATTTGTTGTGCACTGAGACTACTTCTCTTTTTAATTGGAAAAATCCTTAAAATAAGTACAAAAAGACATTTGTGAATTTTTCCCTGAGCCTGTTTTCATTACCAGGTTTTGGTGTAGCTGGTGTATTCAAAGGTGCCCTAACGGGCAGTTTTCTGATTCCATAAAGAGTGGAAACAAGGCTTTTAATGACCCCAAAAAAACTGATCTGTAACCAAATAATCTATGGTTTTAGTGACTCATTTCCTAATTTTCTCAAATTTTAGAGAGTAGGTGGAGGATGGAGATGGATTAGAGAAATCAATGTGGTAAAGCATATGCTAATTTACATACTAGTTAGTAACTTAACTACGTAGAACTACACAGATTAGTAAATTCAGTGCAAAATCTTCTCATTTAAAGCAAAGGAAGGAGAAACACATTGATATAATTCAAGTTTTGAATAACATGAGGGTCAAAATGGTCGTTGACATGGCACTTGCTGCTGCTCACTTGGAATGAGATCAATATTTAAACCATTGGAAACAATATTCAGGTTTCTAATTAGCAGAGTGTATATGTAAAATGCTGTGTCTAATGCAGAGAAATTTCATTTTGCACATAAATTGTGTTGAAACAGCCATCTAAATGGTAATGTAGAATCATGTTATCCACCATTTCCCTAATTATTACAAAGTTATTTATAATATTTTAACTAGGACAAAAATGACTTCTAGCCAGCGTGAGAGAACATTTTCCCTGTACACGTTGATGAAACAGTACAAGCACAGACAGTGATAAAAAAGGACAAAGTAAATTTTGTAGGAAGCTGCTGTAGGTGGTTGCAGTGTTAAATTTACAGCACGTTTATTTTTTTCCTCCTAAATGGAGTTAAAAGTCTCACCATGGTAAAATAATTGGCAGCTTGGATGCCAGTTGTTTGTCATTTAATAGGAAAAAAGCCTAGCTCTTTGATAAAAGCAACTGGGCAGCTTGTTCTGCTGCTGCTTTGCTGATTTATTCTCTTTGGGAAGGTTGTTGCTTCTTAAAATATTTTCCCTCCCTGTAAACAAGTATTTTTTTTTTTTCTTTTTTTTTTTTTTTTTCCTTTCTTATTCCCATTTGTGGAATGAAGTGAGATGGAGCATTTAGCTTCAGGAAAATTTCGATTAAACTGCAGTTTTATACACTTTTCATTGTTTACTGAGCTGGTTTGCATTTAGCTTTCTCTCATGGGTAGTTCTGTTCTGCAGAATTTATACAGTAATAGTGTTTTTATTGTGTCATTTTTTCTTTTTTCAACCAGAATGGATATTTTCACCATATTATTGGGGCTTGAACTGGTTTACCAAAATAATTCCTTTGCATATATCCACATTTAGAAATTGTTTCCACTTTTTTTGGTCTGTCTTCACAAGCACTAGCTGTGCTGTAGCTGCTTGTAGATACAGCACGGAGCTGGAGATACCATCAGTACAGGTTTCTGGTGGAGAATGTGTAACCAATATCAGGAAAATGTCTGAACAACTTCAGACTGGAAACCTTTATTTTCCAGCTATGGATTTTCAGTGCAACCACTGGAAGAGACCTCTCTGTGGACCCAGTTACAGGACCCTGCCTGAGAGTCTGGGACCACAGGCAGCAGCTCTGGGGTTTGCAGAAGAGGGGAACAGGACTACGTCTCACACTCCACCTCCCAGCCACCAGAACTGTACGGACTCAATTCCTTGCAATATAACATGAGATTGCTTTAAATTTGATCAAATACAATAATTTAAACAACTGTCTAACTGTAGGTGCTTTGATTTGTTTCCTCTGTGTGCCTGTAACAAACCAGAAGAACTTGGAATATTAACACTAGCTTTCCTAAGCCGCCTTGTCTGTAATGTGCTAGCCAGTCTTTCCTTGTTGTCTTAGGAGTCTCAGATCATAGTTTTGAAGATAAAACTTTTTTTGAAATTATCAGTTTAGACAACAAAACTTTATTCTCTCTGTATTCATGCAGAGTAGCCTCAAGAAAAACCCAAACGCCACTGATCGGTGGGAGCTGCTCAAGAGGTGTCAGTTTTTTCTCTGCAGATTCATGTTGAACTGAGATACCAAAAAAGTGCTAACAACTTTAAGTTTAGAAACACTAAATAATTTGCAGACTTTGGTATTTGTAGATGTTACAGACAGACTTTCTCAGTGATGGATAGCTTCATGAAATGCAGCTAGAAGGACAGAGACACTGAGGCAGCAAAGGTGGTGTGCAGCCCTCAAATCTCCACCTTTCCTTGTCAAATGGAAATGAAACAGTGAAGTGTCAAGTGCTTGTGTACATCTGTCCTCCAAGCCCTGTTACCAGTTTCCTTCAGAGCATATTTCTCAGTACAGATATTTATGTCATCATCTTTGCCCATCTAGGTATAATCTTCGTAAATCAAGAGGCAGATTGATAACTTGTATTAAAGATGCTCTGATTTGAATTAATTAGATGTTTTCAATAGCTTCCTACTTGGTTCTTTAGTCAGACGGTGGATAATCTCTTAATAATAAAAAAATTTAAATAGTTTGGCCATCTCAGTGTAAACCCTTTGTTCTTCTACAGGAGAAAAGACCTTGCTGCCACATGTAGGGCAGTTTCTGACAAACTGAGTTAATGGTTTGGCATTGAGCAATTTGGCTCTGATGAGAAGCTGACAGCCATGGAGATGTATATGTGATCTCTCAGCATTGATCATTATTTCACATCTGTTGTCACTTGTAACATTTTGTATCATAACATACTCTTTGACACCAATTCTTTTGGAACATACACTTTCTCACTTGTAAGTTTCATGCATTAGGGAGAATCAAAAAAATGTTCTACATTTTTCAATAGGGCAGCAAATGCTAACTTTTAGAATTCATGTTTACTTGGATTTAAGGCAATGCCTGTCATCTTCTGTTAAGAAATTTTATCAGGTAATCCTATTTAGTTAAGTTTCTACTTAATTAAACTGTGTTTATCATCTATTTCTCTCCTCGCATCCTTGTACAGCAACCAATTATTTGGAGTGATGAAGTGAAAGACCTGTTGACTGAGGTTAGTAAAAGGCTACAGCATCTGCTTTACTGTTCTTCCTCATGAACTGAAAGCATGAAATACAGCAGTGCAGTGATCTAACATCCTTATTTTCATCTCATAAATTAACGTGGCTATAACTTCAAGAAAATGTTTGAAATGCTCCTAAATGCATCTTTTAAAATTTGAAAGCCCAGTGTCAGAGGTTTTTTTCTGTTGTGGTTTAAATATGAACATGGTCTGAATATTTTACTTTGCTTTTAGACACATCCTTGCAACAGCAAAAGTGTAGTTAAGAATTCCATATAAAAAGAAAGGCTTTATTGGAACAGTTGGTTGGAAACTAATACCTGCCTTCAAGCTAATTAGGTTTCAGTCCTTCTGGTCTGCTGGTGTGGTATTGCTTTTGTTATTCTGTTTGAACCATTGAAGGATTCTTGATAATTCTTGATGCAAAACATGTCTTTGATTTGTACCTTAATTTTCCCTCCTCTCAATTACACAGGAGGTGAATACAGGTATGGAAACATCCTACTGGATTTTGTATAATCTTAAAGCAAGTCCTGACTGTTTATAACAAATCCACTTTTACCTTCCAATGAACTTGAAACTTCCATGGTATTAATTTAATTTGAATGAAAATTGTAATCTCTTGGCAACAATTAAACCTCCACGTATCTCATGACGAACCTTGTAAAAAGCTCTGCCAGGGCACTTTAAAAGTGACGCTGATAATCTGCCATTTTTGGATCACTGCCACAACTCTCCTCAGGAGATGTGCTATGACTTGTTTTTTCTGACAAGGACAAAATGGCTGCACAGCTAGATGCATGCTGACAAACTCATTTTTCTCTTTAGTCTGAGTATTTAACTGTTGATCTCTAAATGGAAAATGTGATGACTTCTTGATGATATTTGACAGCCTATAAATACAGGTGCCTGGTAGAGTGAGAGAAATTCCAGGATGCAAGACTGGAGAAGGGCAGATGCTGACTTCCCCAAACAACAGAATGACAGAAATTATAAGTTACCCCAGTGAAACTGACATAATTTGGGGATCTTAGCTTTTTCTTCTCCTCTTTCTTGTAAAATGAATTCTAAGGATGTATTCTTCCAGGAGAAAGTCCTGTATGTGCTCATATGTCCTCTATTAAGAAGCAGGAAGATTTGGAGCTTCTTGTTAAAATGCAATCCAAAGACCTGCAACTTCATTTGTTAAGTAGCCTTGGTGATTGTAGGACTGTTAAATTATTGCTTCCACTTGTTAGAACAGCTTTTTTCCTTCAGAAATGACAAAGCTTGGAAAAAACTAACCTTGACTCTGATCAAGACACAGGTCAGAGGGTTTGGCATCACAAGGAAGGAAACAAAAGTGATCTGTAATCTCTACTCCTCCTTTCTGGAGCCCTAATAATCAAATTCATTTTCTAAAGAAAAATATAAAGGACTGATGAAAAGATGAGGTTTTTTCCACTTTGAGTC